GAGCTGTAGCAAGGCCACGGTGGTGCTCAAGGATGGTTCTCCCCGCTTACATTCCCTGGGAGTACTTCTTAGCCTCTAGATATAGGCGTTTGTCACAGGAAGACTAGGGTTGTGTTTCAGTCTGCTGTCTGTGCAGTGCCCTGGGGGTGGTGGACTGCCAAGAACTGTCTTTCCAATTGTCACAGTGCTGTGGAGCTCTGGAATGCTAGGCCTCCTGGCCACCAGGGCCAAGTGTGCAAGGGGTGTCCAAATGTGTGGATTGTGTGTGCCCACTGGTTTCGGCAAGGCAGCTGGAGAGAGCCATGTCTGTGCATGGGAGAATGCTTGGCTCACTCATACTCACCAGCCCCAGCCCGAGGGCTGGGAAGTGTTGCAGTCCCCCCTTCTCCCAGACTTTAGCTAGTGAGCACGAGGACTCCATGACCATTTGTGCTTGCCGCCCTAGTCAGAGAGAAGGGGAACACTGTAACCACCAATGCCCTCCTGTGTCAGCAACTACCGCAACCACTTGCCCCTGTCCATCTCAGCAAGGCAGCAAGAGGGTGCCATATCCAAGGTCATCCACCTGCGCTAGTAGGCTATGGGGAAAGTGCAACAGTGACACCTATTTTCCAGTTCCTCTGTCTCCAGAGAGCATTTCAACTATCCCCTGCCCCTCCAGCCCATGCCCCTAGATCAGCAAATGAATCTTCCTCACGTATAGTGTAGGTGCTTTTTAGTGCTGTTGTTTTGCTGGGTCCCAAGGCAAGGAAGGCAGCATGCAAGCCCTTCAAGAGGGGAATCTCAGTTTCCTTTAACTTTGGGAACTATAAATGTCAACCCCGTTGGTTTTCCAAGCCATACATTCTGGGATTCATCTCTTTGGTTCAGATCCCAGGAGCTAGAGTACCCAATGTGGGGAACGAATCCCTGCCTCCTGCTTCTCCAGGAGAAGCGCTTGTCTGGTGACACCCCTCCCTTCTGTGTGTTGCTGTGCCAGGGGTGGGGCTTTTCCTACCAGTCTCAATGTGGTTCTTTTATCCTCGAGTGTGGAGAGCAGTTTATCGCATTCTCAGATATATTTCAGAGGGAAATGATCCCCATGTGGTAGCAAATCTAGTATCTCCATGGGAGAAGGTAAGTTCAGGATCTTCCTACACTGCCAACCTGGATGCTCTTTTGACAGAAAGCTTGATGAGCACTTAGGTGAGTCGCCAGGGCCTCCAGGGGCTCAGTGTTGAACAAAGTGTTCATATAACCTGAGGAAAAGAAACATTACTCTTTATAATAAAGGGTATCAAGAATAGTCAGTGATAGAAAACAGTGAACTAGAAAAGAAAATACCAGTGAGTCACTCTAAACTTGCCTGGAGAATGAGTCAGGAAAACTTTGCTCTGTTCCCTCAATTTTAGTTGGGCTAAAGAAGGTCCTTTATGGAGAACATAAATGTCTAGTAGGCATAGACACCATTTACTACTATGATATATAAGCCCACTATTCTATTCTATCATTTTAATGAAACGATACTTCACTTCTATACCTTCAACAATAATACTTTTTATGGGAATAGACTTTTGTTTAGGGCAACTCAAAGAGATGGATGAAACAGGTAGCATCTGAATAACTTGTGTAAAACTATTAGCATAATGCTCAGCACACAGTAAGAGCCAAATCTTACTATTTTTTAATCTTGTTATCACTCAATATTGTAATTATGAAGTGAAACTCTCACGCTATGCAACACTGATAATACAGTAGAAACAAAACTGCCTTGTAATCCTAGATCTGGTTTCAACGTGTGCATCTTTATTTTGTGTTGAATATTTCTAAAACTGAAACTGCAATCAAATTTTCTCATGTTTATCTTTTTAGACGTCCCCAATCTTAATACGTTATAGGAAGAGAGAAGTAGAAAGAGTCACAGAACAGAACAGTAGAAGGTCCTCTCTTGTGGCACCATTGCTTTGCAAAAGAATAGGTAATATGTAGAAGTGAAGAGTTCATATAGGAGGGTGCTCTTCTATTACTGACAATATTTATCTTGCATTTTTTTAAATTTTTTTCAACGTTTATTTATTTTTGAGACAGAGAGAGACAGAGCATGAACAGGGGAGGAGCAGAGAAAGAGGAAGACACAGAATCTGAAACAGGCTCCAGGCTCTGAGCTGTCAGCACAGAACCTGACCCGGGGCTCGAACTCACAGACCGTGAGATCATGACCTGAGCCAAAGTCGGACGCTTAACCAACCAAGCCACCCAGGCGCCCCTATCTTGCATTTTTAAAGCGTGTTCTTCTACCTTCATGCAGCCATCCCAGCTTCTAGAAGCCCCATCACCATTGCTTATGAGTGCCCACAATTTTAAATTTCAGATTCTCTTTTAAACGAATCAAAATCAAGTTGCAGATTGCCTTGCTTATAGCTGGTGCTTGATAAATATTTGACATGTTAAGAAACAGCTAAGAAGTAACTGCCTGGTTGTTGAAAGATGGAAGCAGTCAAAGATTGCCAAATATATGGCTGTCTTCAGATTGCTGAAACTTAATATATTCTAATGTCTTTAGAGATAAGATCTGCTCCTTACTCATTGTTGTTTTCCTACTAGGTATCAGGTTCTCAAAAAAATAAAAATAATAACACAAGAGTGTGGAATGTATACAAAACAGGCATGTGAGTCATTCTTTCAGTCCCGCAGAGGTCGTTTATTTTATTTACTTTTTTTTTTTTTTTTTCAAGTAGACTTCACACTCAGCATCGAGCCCAACATAGGGCCTTAACTTGCAATCTAAGATTAGGACCTGAGCTGAGATCAAAAGTTGGATGTTGAACTGACTGAGCCAGCTGCCCAGGCACCCTGCAGAGGCCCTCTTAACCAGGTTCTCTGACACGGGCAGTCTGAACTTACACTAACTCTGAAGTCTCTACAGCTTTCTGGAGACTACAGTTAGACTTTCTGTGACCACACACAGAACTCACCTGGACTGGAATCATTCTCATCCTTAATAGAGTACTTTTTGCTTCTGTTCAAATATACAAAGACATTTAATTATCCAATGAGATAACCTATGTAAAGAGCTTAGATACATAATAGACATTTTATGAATGCTAGTTTCATTCACGTTATTTCCCCTCAGAGGAAAACATAGCCAGTTGTTTTTCATTTCCATAAACAATAGACAATTAATATATAGATTTATTTTTTATGGAAATAATGTTAGATTAAAGAAAGAAATGTGTACTTAGACCATAGGAATGATCAAACAACCAAAACGATGGGTTTTAGATAATTTTAAAAATCAGAGTGGCCAATATCCTGCTTGTTAAATTTCTTTTTCCTACTTGACTAAAATTTCTTGGAGTAGAGATTGTCCATTGTTCATTAAAAGTTCCAGGTATAGTGTCTGAAGCGTAGTAGGGGTAAAACAAAGTTTACAAAATGAATAAATGAAGGAATGATGTTGCATTAGATACTGTATAAAGGTACGGTTCAGGGAGATTTAAAAATCAATGTCATAATCCAAAACAATTATTAAGAGAGACAACCTGGTAGAGATCTTTTTCAGTCTACATAGATGTGTGCAGTCTGGGATCACAAGCATATTGCTGTCAATTCCATAGTTCATAAGATAACAAAAATAAAATAAAATCATATATCCAGAAAGTTTGGGGCTGACTTTAGCCTACTGGCCTTTTACAGGTGCAATTTATTTTTACAGTAAAGAGAAGAACACTGAATCTTCCCAGAATAACCTGATTCCTACAGACTTAAATAAAGTTGTTCATTTTTCCAGGTTTTTGGCATACTTCTGTCTTTCTAGACTGTGAAGTGAATCTCCATTTCCCAAAAGCCCCAGTGCTGATTTTAATGATCCTGTCCATGTGACGTACTTTTTTTTGTTTTGTTTTATTGCTATTAGTGAATGACAAGTGGAGGATATTCATTTTAACTTGAAAATGTCAGGGATGCACTTTAAGAGATATATTTTTGGAGCTTTTAATGAGGTGGTGTTTCTTTTTGAAAGAAATACTCATCTCCGATGCGGGTGCTGTGCAGGTGACAACTGATATTTAATAAGCGATGGTTCTTGTATTAGTCACAGTTCTCTAAAGAAAATGTCTCCGATTGCTTTTGAAAAACTCTTAGCGTCACTAGCCCAAAGGCAAGATGTGACCTTTTTATTACATAATGAGAATCATTTATTATCTTACAATGTATCTTAAAGTCACAGACAAAATGCCACTTTGATAATTGCTTTCAATTAGCTTTGAGCATAGCATATATTCATAAGATGTCTTCTCTAATTTAGACTTGAATTAGAGAAAATTGCAGACATAATCTACTTTAAGGTTGTCTCATTTAAGGTGATTCGTAGTTTTACATCAAAGAAATCAAAACGAGTAGCTTTAGAACTGTCTCTCAAAGTGTTTGAAGCAGGCTTTTCAATATTTGATTCTATTCTATTACCAATTAATTAACAAATTAGAAAGCTAGTTCATCATTTCTGACCTTTTACGCACGTTAACTTTTGACTTTCATTCCTAATGATTGTTTTGAAATTAAACCTTGCAGTTCGTGTTGAAAGAGAGAAACAATCTGATTAGCAAGATAAATAAGGCTTGCCTTGATACCCTGTGTATCTTGATGTTGGGCTGTACCTGGACTTGTGAATGCTGTCATGGTACATCCTTTCCTGCTTTAAATGGTCATTGAATTATACTGGATAATCATGTCACTGAAACAAAGAGTTTTGGGGGTGTTACCACAAGTGAGGGTGGAGGTAATGATATTTAAAATGTGATTGTGGTTAATTTTTATGTTTTCATTAAAACCGAGCACTGGAATTTGGTTTAAAGGCAAATTTTTATCTCCCTTAAAATTATTTTTGAAATAACAAACACCCTGAAACTACATTTTACACTTGTGGTGTTCTGGTAACTCGTGGAATATTATTAACCTTAACAGAGATTGTCTGAAAATGGTATTCTGTCTGGAAATTACCCTCTTTCTCTTTCTTTTCCTAGATAAAAATTACACACAAGAACCAAGCCCCAATGCTGATGGGTCCTCCTCCAAAAACTGGGCTGTTCTGCTCTCTCGTCAAAAGAACAAGAAACCGAAGCAAGGAATAAACCTGTTTCATTTTATTCTTAGAGTTCTAATTAGCATAATTGGGCCATGGAAACTTATGCTGGAAACCTTTCAACCATTTCAGTTCTCTTGCTCATGCAAAATCATGCAATTGGTTAACAGTTTTTGTTACCGAGCTAATGTAATATTCAGCTATTAGAAAATTTGTCTCCATTTTTATAGGCATCTTTGCATGAAGAAGGCAGAAGTGTACATGAAGTGATACTGCATATTTTTGTTGCACGTGTTCCCATAGATTTTTATGTCTCTCATCCACCCCTCCCCCAATTCCATTTACTAACCTGTGAGACAAATATGTGAAACATAAAAGGAAATATCATGGGAAATGTGATTCTGCGTGTGATGCAAATTATTGGTAAGCACTAATCAGTAATGCTATGATGATCATCACTGTAGATTGCTATATTTTTCCCTGATAGAATCAGTGCATCAATGATCTTCGAACTATGACTTGAAAAGAAACTTTTAATTGGACGATTTTATTAAATAGTTGTCTGTGATAACCTTGCTGTACCTAAATAGTTTTTCTTCAACATCTTAATGCTTCTGAGTGGAATTTAAAATATCAGATATATAAAGTTTTCTTGTGCTAAAAAAAATAGAAAGTGATTTTTATTTTGTTTCATTTTGTTTTTAATTCCAGAAATAAGTGAAAACAGAAATAAGTTACTTGGCAGTGAAGTGTGATAATATGACAAGCCTTACTCCTTTTTGCATGTGGATCTAGAAGAAAATTCATAACCACACCAATAACCAAATAGATGTTTTAAACTATGTGCCTAATATACTATTTCCCACCAAAGATTCAGAAAAAGATGCTTGAGAGAAATGGGTTAATGTATAATTAATTAGCTTTGTGGAGTAAATTTATGGTTCTTATGATTAATTTTTTGATGACTTAAACTCTGGAAGAGAGTGAATTACCCATTAATTATAATTAAAATTCTCACCTTACATAGACAATAGGCCAAACAACACAATCAAAGCTCAAATGCTGATTTCTTGCTTTTTTGGTCATTTATAAATATAGGTATGTGTAATTTTTAATGGGTCAGTTAAGTACACTTGAGATAGTAAATGATTGTATCAGTTTTGCTCTGGAATAAATTGATACCTGCAATGCTATTAAGCTCATTGAAGCAAATCGTGCATGCAGTTAGCCCTCTTCCATCAGCCTACACCACTCCCATCTCTGTGACATTTCAAATGTTTATTTGGAAATAATGACCCAGATCGTTGTTTACGGTGTTCATGGGATGGTTGGAGTGTCCATTTAAAGAAATCACGGCATAGTACTTTCCTTGGTGTTTCATTAAATCTATGATATAAAATGAAATGCTTTTCTGAGCAGTTTGGGTATTTTTCAGTCATATTGACCTGCATCCCATCAGTGCATGTTTTCTGTTTTTAAACATGCCATGAGGAAAACAAGTGCTTGAAATGCATGATTTATTAGTTTTTCTCTCCACTCAGCATTAAAGTACTAATGATTTATCAGTTCTGTTTTTCTATTGATTCATTCATCTTTGAATAACAAATAGCATTTAGTGATTCTGTTGAACACAATCCTGTGCATGGATTTATGGATTTCAAGTGAAATTGCTATAATTTTTGTTCTTCAGTTTGAAAACTCAACTGAATGCCGTTATATCAAATAGCTACTCTCAAGCAATGTACTATAATGGAAGATTATGTATAAAGCGTATTATTTTAGTGTTCCAGGAACATTAGATGGTAAATATCAATCAACAATAAGTTTAATTGCTTTGAAAATAAAAGCTTTTGAATAAAATTAAGACATAATTTAGCAGTCCCAGGAAAATGATCATTACAATTGCAAATGTAGCACAGCAATCACTTGCCCTAGTATAATAATAATAATAAAAAAAAAGTTATTTGGCAGAGCGTAATCTGGAGCAAAAGAAATCTCTCAAAACAGTAACAAATGCATTACTGACATGATGTTACATAACAAACACACTGATTTTGTGTATCTTTGGTTACAGGTAATAAATATTTCTACATAAATTGACAAAGTTTTGTACAATGGGCAGGCAGGCTTTGTATCAAAATATATTCTGAAGCCACAGATGATTTTATGTGCAGTACACATACAGTTATGTTTTGGCTGCCTTTTATAGTATGTAGTTTGAAGGCAGCAACAGTTGATGAATCATTCTTAACAATCTGTGTGGTGGCGAGCTCTTGAAGAGACAGCGGCTTGAGACAGTTCAAGCAACCTGCCTGTCAGATTCCCAGAGTTCTAGCAAAAGCATGCAGCTTTACTTCCGGGGTAGCCATGTAACTCTCATTAGTGCCGATAGTAGTTACATCTTCAGTTACAATCCATTGGTACAAATAATACATGTTCAAGCAGGAATCAAATGTTACTGTCTTCAACTCATTTCCTAAAGTTCCTGACATGCTTGCCCTCCTACTACACTACTCCTGGGGTTTGGAAAGTAGTTTTAAAAGAGCAACTTTGATGGTTTTGAAATCAGAGAAGATAGTCTCCATTTTTATGACAGCTTCAGGTGAAGAATATATATTTTCAAGAAAATTCTAAACTGAAAGTTCTATGGTTTAGTAAAATACTGAATAATGAATGTTAGCTTTTCAAGATGGAATTTGTTCTTCTGTGTGTGGGGGTGAGTGCCTGAGTGGTTGAGTCAACCTCTTTTAAACAGAGTAGATCTAGTTTTTCTACAGAGTTTTAAGTAGATGAAACTCTTAAGCAAAAATTAATATTGGGCTGGCAGGAGTCAGATTAACAGGGGAAAAGAGATAGGCACTCTTTTGCCAAACAGTGCCATACACCGAGTTGACAAACAGACATTCCCGAAGAAACCTGGATATCCATGCTTTCCATTGGGAATAGAGGTGTCTACGTGACCCAGAAATTTTAAAGGACATAAATGTATTTTTCCACACTCATCTGTATACCATGTGTACTCGATGCAAAAAGTCCTAGTCAGTTTATTGTGGAAGAAGATGATATCTTGTAGAAAGTGGAGAAAATAAACTTTTAATACAGTTTTTTTTTTTTATGTTTAAACTATGTGATTATAGCCATAACGAAGCAGAAGGCTCAGATGTTTAGTGTAGTCTACTGCAGGTAGAAATGTAAATTTGATTAAGAGCTAATGAATTGCCTGTATGTTTCCGCATTTTGTTCTTTTTTTTTTTTTTTTTTTTTTTTTTACGGGGATGGGAAATAAGCAATTTTCAAGGAAGAATCTGTTTTGAATCCCAGGTTGTATTCTACTTGAATGAGACAAAACTTTTAAATGGTTCCATGTCTTTTTGTGTCAGTTTGTTGTTTATTGATTATAAAAAGGAAAATGTACCTTTCATGGCACATATAACCCACAAACGATTATTCAAATACAGTATGTATATTCTAAAATAAACGATGAAGCCCTTGTAATATATGTTGAGGATGTAAAATTTAAATAAATGAATAAATAAATAAATAAATAAATAAACAAGCAAAACCCACAAAAGAGCTTCTGTTTTGTGACAGGCAGACATTACCCCTTAAGTCTCCCGACTGAATTGCATTCTATTTAAATAAAGTTTGAATAAATGCATATTTCAAGGATTCTGTACATCCTTACTGTGTTTAAAAACATAGAAGTCATTTAATTACAGTGTGTTAATTATTTTTCAGAAAGTGTTACATACAGTATCCTGCTTTTTGAAATAAAAATGTTAACCACTCATTAGGTGTCATTCCTTCCTGCCATTTTGGCCGGATTCTGTGTGTACATGAACTTGTCGAGCATTTGCCATCAGGGTGCCCCACTGAACATCTGGTGAATACCAGGCCAGCCCCCCCTCGTCCTTTGTGAGGGAGGAAGGAGTCTGGGCATTTGGCAACTGAATTCTGTGTCATTAAGAACTGTACCATTCTATTTTGTGCTGCTTTGGCCCCAGAATGCCACTGTGAATATAAAACCAACAATCTCAGAGATCCCATGAATAGCAACAGACTGGATGATAGAACTGTCTGGACTAAAAGATTAGGTCAGGGGTTCTTCGAGGGCTTATACCGAATTATCTGGATGAAACCCATGTCTACCTTCATTTTGTGTAACTGACTTCAGCGGACCTCTCATGGGCACTGACTAGGTACAGGATATTTTGCAAAGGGGTTGAAGCAATAAAATGTTGCAATTCTTTGGGTTCCTTCTTACTTGAGGTCAAGATTGGCTACCCAGGGTGTTCTCTGGTGCCTTGGTGGAGGTGGTGGCCCCCAGATCCGGGATAGCACTCTCCGACTCTGCCACGTGATTGACCAGTCTGCTGCCTCCTCCTTGTATTCCTCAAGTTTTGGAATGGGCTGATGCCAGTAAGATAACTGGGAGGTAACTTCAAGGTAAATCTGCTTCTGGGAGCTGTAAGAAGGTTCTGAGGACAGAGGTGTAAAGTTTATTCCTAGCTGCACGTTTTATAGAATATAGGTTAGGGGAAAGTTACTCAATCTGTCTAAGCCTTACTTTTCTCATCTGTACAATAGGGATAAACATAGAACCTATTTCAGGGTTGTTGTGAGGATTAAATACAGTCAATTTTCTAAATAATTTGTGTTTGAAAATGGGCAGATTCTATTTTCTGGCTGCAGTGGAAACGTAATCCTAGGAGTATCAGCAGCAGAATTCTCTTTGTCGCCACTTCCATCCTTCCTCTACAATACCAACTCTGGTTTTTTAGAAATTGACGATATTCCATGTTTTACGTGATAAAGGTACAAACTCCGCAGGCACACGAGAGATTTCATGAGCTGGATCTTCTCAACCTTTCCTGTATCCGTTTTTCTCTTTACCCCATGTGCAAACTTAGCTCTAGCCACACCATTCTACCTGCATTTCACCAGATACGCCATGTTTTCATGACTGCACTTTGGCAAAAGTTACGCTCACTGGTGCATTCCCTTGCTCAAGGATTGGTTCACTTGTGTTTGGGAGGGTTTCTGGACTCA